CTTCAGGTCCACGTTTAGTACAAATTAATACTACTTTAATTTTGTACAGTTGCACGGTTTAAGTGCGATCACTCTACTTGTTCTCTATTGTTTAATTAGCACTATCTTGTAGTATAAATAGTGCATGCTTTTAGTGTTTGCACTCTGCCGTCTGGAATAAATTTGTTATCCTTCGGCTCTTTACTGATGACCTAAATTAGAACATTAAAGCAGTTACAGACGACTGGTCTAGCATCTTGTAAAGGTCGTGGACTTAGGACAAAAAAATATAGATTCCTTTCATACTTGCTAAATACAGATGTGAACAATGAGACTATACAAGGCGGAGTCGAGTGGCTGTTAGATGGAAACATTTGCCGTGCTTGACCCTGAAAGGACTGCAAGGAACCATAATTAACAGCACTTCTTTCGGGGTTAATTTTCACCTATTTCTTGGCCAATTATAGATATTGGGTTAAACAGAAAGGGTGGCAAGTGAAAAATGTGTATAAAATCATTTATAGATAAATTCGCTTCTTGCTTGTTTGGTACTCGCTTCACAGACATGATAAATAGTTATTYCAAGACACTACAGTTCAAACCTCGTGCTCACAATCTGCCCGAACTGCATTGTGGTCTACGGCACTGTTTTTTTTTGTTCTATGGGACTGATGGGTTTTTTTTCAATGATAACAACAACAAAATAAAAAAATATAAAAAAAAATAAAATAAAAAAGGTTAAAATAAAATACAATAAATAAATAAATAAATAAGAGATAGAGACACCATTGTTAACATTTAAGATGCGAACTCAGTGAACCTTATCATGAAATGATTTTAAAGCATATATTGCTAGGATAAAACACTGCATTTTATAAAATGTATTACAACAAGATACTGAAAAGATGCTCCGGAAAATAATAAATTACGCTAACAAGAATATCTTACATAAACAAAAAAATGTCTACGAGGCATGCATCATAAAATATGATTTTAGTATCATCGCTATTCAGTCATGGTCAGAGATATCGAATGTATATGTATTTAGGTCTTACTAACCGAGCGCGCGGTCGGTCTAGATAGAAAAATTTCGACCGCCGTCGGGAAGTACAGGCCGATCAAGGTCAGTTAATGAATGTTTTATTATATGACCGTTTTCAATTTGTTTCATTTCAAAGTAATCCAAAGACATCACCGAACATAATATTTTCAAGCAGTTAAAATCTTCTACGCTTTCTGTGGACTATATAGCCATCTGAAATTCCGTCTAAATAATAAAATTCACCGCTTTTTCCGTCAATTTTGTCAGTAGAAATAGCAATCACCAACCAAGCATCAACCAATCAGATCACTCCATTTACTCGCGTCCAGGCTCCAATATATACGGTCATATAATAAACCTTTCTATTAAAGCTGTCAGGACTATAGACCGAATCGGCTAACGCGTTGCTATGTACGTTGCCACCCAATAGTCTCCTTCACGGTTACCTGCGCCATCTTGAAAGGTAGCCGTGCCTTGTCATCGAAGCGAGACAACCGTTGAGCGTGCAATGATAGAAAGCTTCTTTCACACCTATAGACAATTATTCACAGGTATCTATCATTGCACGCTCAACGGTCGTCTCGCTTCGGTGCAAAGGCACGGCTACCTTT